AGCTGTTATTATTAATCATTTAATTGTTTCTACTGATATCACATTGCCAAATAAATATGCTTTTTGTGTCACCGTATTCATAGTTAAGTTAGATTTTTTATTATAATTCAATAAATATTCTAGATTGTATATAAATAATAAATTATAAATTTATTTTCCGAAACTTGTTTTAGCGCCCCCTAAGGCGTGCGCCCGCATTTTTTGCATGCATCGCATGCAAGGCAGGACCGGCCCTATGTATATATATATATATATATATATATATATATATATATATATTATAATACTATATATTCTTATTATAAGCCACTGCAATTCTTGCATTTTAAGTTTGATTTGTTTGATGGATATTTGACTTGATGTCAAATGCACTCTAAGACGGCCGACAAAAATAATACAGCATTTGAAAAACCGGATGCCACAGAGTATTTTCATATTGTATTTGTGTCTGAAAATTTCAAATTATATTTTTGTTTGACACATGTATTAAATATACTAAATAGGCGGGTATTGCAACGTTCAAATAAAATCTTCTTTGCTTCCATCTTGAACCAAGTTTCACTATATAGTGCAAGTATATACTTTGCATGGAACAAGAGCTACTTAGCAACATTATCTGTTACCAGAAAAGCCATATCCAATAAATTTTAAAGGTGCAATACTGCATGCTAATTTACATATAATACTACATGAGCCTGTCCATCGCACCGCATAAAAATTACTATTTTGAGAATAAGATGTGTCAAAAAGCAAAAAGGACAATAATAATTCTTGATAAAAAAATCAAAATAGAGTTCAAGAAAAATGGCTAAAGGGTATGGGCGTGTTTCCATACAGAATTGGCCCCACCCTGGTATTTAAATTATTTTGATGCCATTTTATAGGTATTTTCGAGAAAATTCGATATACCAAATTTCAAATCCGTAGATCATCATTTGGCCGAGATATCAGTGAAAACATGTGAAAGTGGCCCCTTTTTTCAAACTTGCTTTTTGTCGGTATTATAAAAGATATCGAAATAAAATTGACGTGGTTCTATTTGCATTGGTCTTGACTATATTATTTATAATGAATAATGTTAAAAAATTGTCATTTACTGGATGAGAAGTTGGAAATAAGTTTTTATTTGAAATTTTCGACCAGTACGGTTGATTTGACTACTTTCTAAATAGCATCATTTTAAAGCCTGTATATTTTACTTTTATTGTCCAAAATTATATTTAAATTGAAGTGGAACTTTTTATAAAACGTTGAAAAAACCGAAGGTAGTACACGCGGAACCCGTAGAATATCCGTGTAAGTAGCTTCTCTCAATAGCAAACCAGTGCACATTGCGCTTGGCGCGCATCGGAACATACTCTATATAAAGGTAATACTTATTTAAAAAATAAAACTAGATATATACATTTATGTCTTTTATATTCATATATTTATGTATATAATTATTGTGCTTATATATTTATATACAATGTTTTTTTGTTCTGGAATTATACCTAAAACTTTGTGTGCTTTTTATATTTTATATTGTTACTGTATATTATTTTATAACGATAGAAATACATAAATAAATAGTCACTATATTTACCATAGTAATATGGAAGTTAAGTTACCAAGTTATTAAGACACTTTTAATCGTAGTCGCTATCATTGTTAATAGAAACTGTAGTTCTTTCTGTTATGTGTCAATAACGCGTTCCATTGGTACAAAAAAATTATAAATCGTATGAAAAGATTTATATATTACATTTATATATGTGGCGTTTGTTGCAAAATAATAAAATAAAAAATTAGAACGTACCTCTAGCAATTCTGCACCAATACCTAATTTCTGAAATGGTGGCAAAACAAGCATCTGACTGTCGAATGTTATTTGGGTGATTAAGGTACCGATAAACAGTGGAGTAACCTGCCACAGCGTAAGCTGAATTCCCTGAATCACGTGCGTACTTTTCATAACTGAAGATATACATGTTGCTTCACATTGAATATATTTAATATAGAAGATTTCACAAATAAGCATTACTTACACTGTAAAAAATGTCCACTGGCGATCATCTACGTCTATAAAACTGGATCCATCGATATACCACAATAGGAATGTTTGCAGTCTAGTATGGAATTTCAAATAGTTTTGGTCACCAATGTAGCAATAATAAATTTCAAATTTTCTCTGCTCAACATCTAAATTTTAAAAATATTTTGAAGCACCATTAGAACAAAATTTGAGGTAACATGCTGAATGTATTAGAGTACATGTACTCTTAATTGCAATTAATAATTTCCAAATGAGCAAATTTTGATATGATTTTTTTGTGGTGAATAGAATGTAATACTATTTCATATTACATATGTAAGTAAGGCATTATTATTCTCAAAAACATTTATATCCATTCAAGAGCCATAAAAATGAGTTACCTGAATTCCTTGAATGGAATGAATGAATTTGGGTTCCAAAAGGTTTAAAGTTTTTATCTTGATCAACAGCAACTCTAAATTCATCTAGGTTGGTGAAATATTGGGGTGCCAAACAAGGAGTTAGCAACTTTAAAATATCATCAGGTTTAGAATTTTCACCAGGTGTAGTAGGCAACTGAAATCGGATACATATATATATACATACAATGTGCGTAAATATATATATATACAGGGCCGGTCCTGGGGTCCTTAGCGCCCGCATGCAACTTTTTTTCTCCCCTATTAATTTTCACCGTTTTAACAGTTTATCATTAAAATTATATAAATATTCACATATTTTTTAAAAATTACTTTTTAATTATTCTGGATTTAGTACACAAAAAATTAGATATAATCTAGAAGGGTATAAAATATATTGATTTTGAATTTATTTATTACTATCGATATCAATAAATAAAACAATCATAATTTCATATTTTAGTAATATTCAATATGTAGTAAATTGGTTAAGGATGTTAGTTCGAAGTAACTACCATAGCAAAAGAATTAATATTTTTGTTAGATTAAAATTATAGAATTTAAGATATGAATTTCAGAAATAGTATTTATTATTTTGATATAAGATCTTGATATCAAAAAAATACTATTTCTGAAATGCATTTCTTAAATTCTATAACTTTAATTTAATGAAAATATTAAGTGAAATAAATAAATAAATTTTTACTTATTCTGGATTTTTTGCACAAAAAATTAGATATAATCTAAAAGCGTATATAATTTAGTAGTAGTAATATATTTTATATTGATTTTAAATTTATTTAGAAAATTGAGGCGATTCGGGGGTTGATTATAATCAAGTATTTTGAAATTTTCAATTATTTTTAACGTATGTGCAATAAACATAACACTCGTAATTCATGTTGGATTTTTTTAATTTTAATTTAATTTAATTTTTCATCATTTACAATATCCAAAATTGCGTCATAAACTTCTCCTTATTGATATCGTAAGACCATATTCAGAGTATCAGCTTGTTGTTTTAAAGTTAAATTTTTAACGTATTTTAGAAGTATTGTTCAAAAATCAGTAAAAAATGCAAAGAAATTACACATTTCTTGAACAATATTGAAAAAAAAACTTATTATATTTGATATGTATTATTTCTGTATAGTTAATAATTATTAAATTTAGAATATGAACACCACTAGGTATAAAACAAGCCTTAAGATTTTCGTTCCAAAGTAAATTTTGCTTCCGTTTTTCAAATTTGTTCCACGCATGTCTTCAACATTCAAAGTTCAACAGATGCGAAACATTTGCAACAAAAGCAAAAGTTACAATTCAATTTCTCGGAATAAACAAGTCATTTTCTAAGCGCTGACTCCCAATTTTTTATAATTTGTTTATATTTTTTTAACAAGTTCCGATTCAACTAAATCAGCTCGAAATTTTTCGTCAATAATGTCAACAATTAATTTAATCTTTCGCAGATTTGCGCTTACGGGATTGAACACTAGATAATTTCTTTTTCGATTCCACGGTAACTTCAAGCAAAGAAAAAATTGAATAAGTAGATTAAGCAATAAACAGAGCTGTTATTTACTAACTTGCAGAATTATTAATCGGTTAATTGTTTCTACTGATATCACATTGCAAAATAAATATGCTTTTTGTGTCTCCGTATCCCAAGTTAAGTTAAATTATTTATTATAATTTATTAAGTATTCTAGATTTTAAATAAATAATTCTAGATTTTATATAAAAAATATAAATATTATATTATAAATTTAATTTCCGAAACTCGTTTTGGCGCCCCTAACTAAAAGAACAAAATAATGCAAATTAAGAATACAATAAAATAGAAACAGCTAATGCAAAACTATGTTTTAACAAGATAGATTTTAAGTCTGAAATGGTATTGTATCCAAAGAAAAAACAGTTTCAATATAATAATCATGCACAGTAACTCATTTGCGTAATTCTCAATGTTTGATACATAAATACTGTTTGTCTTTAATTACTTTATCTGCATAAAATATTCCCAAGTCATCATTGATTGTAAAATTGGAGAATTACCAATGTTCATGTGTAATCTTCGAATGCGTTTGTTGCACTTTAACAATATTGGTCTTACTTGCATAAACCATAAGCCATGCTTCAGATCTGATATATATATATATATATATATATATATATATATATATATATATATATGTCAACTTTGTTTTTTAATTAAATTTTCGAGCTTTTTCTCATAAGCCTGTGCAATTCTTGCATTTTAAGTTTTATGCGTTGGATTTTTGACTTGATATATGCTAAATTAATTTTCTGTTTCTCTGCATGATCAGAGGCATACACTCTAAGAAAGGACAACAAAAACATGCAGCACTTGAAAAAGTGGATGTCACATAGTCGTGGTAAATTGTATTTTTGTCTTACACAAAAATATGCCAAAAAGCAAAAACGATACTAAAACTTGATAAAGAAAATCAAAATGGAATTCAAGAAAAATGACTAACTTTATTCATTTCATAAATAAACAATGTTGATAAAATTTTTAACAATCAATGAACAATTTTCATGCTTCAAAAACAATTTTCAGGCTTGAGCTTTTTCCATTCTTCGTAAGACTCGCATGTAAGTTTCTTCCAAAGTTTTGTAATCAGAAGTTAATTTTGACATTCTTTCATCATCTCCAAAAACATTAAGAGCATTTGTGAATTCTTGGGGCTTCATTACTTTCTGAAGTTTTTTTAAATCATTTTGTTGTTTCTGAAAATTAATACAATAGTAATAAATATAATATATTACTTAAAGTCTTGGTTACATACTTTAAAAGGGCAATTTAATCTTTGCTTAACTGCCAGTCTATATTCTTTATATTGCTCTTCATTATTGATATTTGTTTCTTTCAAACGCAAAATTTCATAAATCCGTCGTACTTGCTTCGCATTTAATTTATGCTTTGATTTAGCTTCTGCAGCCATTGCTTTGTCATATCCTTTCAATAAATTTTCTTTTGAAAATGAAGCCAATTTTGAGCATCTACAACAATCTACATAATCCCTTAATCTTTGAAAATCTTCAGAAGGATCTTCAACAGTAATATCAATAACATCTTCCATTGGCACAAAAAAATTATAAATCGTCTGAAAAAATTTAAAATTAATTACATTACTTGTGTTTGTTGTAAAATAATAAAATAATAAATTTAAAACGTACCTCTAGCAATTCCGCACCAATACCTAAATTTTGAAATGGTGGCAAAACAAGCATTTGACTAATTCTAGGACGAATGTTATTGGGGTAAGCGTAGTATCGGTAAACAGTGGAGTAACCTACCACAGCGTAAACTGAGTTTCCTGAATCACCTACGTACTTCTCATAGCTGAAGAATACATAATGTGTTTCTTATCATTGAATATATTTAATATAAAAAATTTCACAAATAAGCATTACTTACACTGTAAAAAATGTCCACTGGCTATCATCTACATCTATGAAACTAGAACCATCAACATACCACAATAAAAATGTTTGTAATCTGGTATGAAATTTCAAAAAGTTCTGGTCACTAATATAGCAATAATAAATTTCAAATTTCCTCTCCACACCATCTAATGCAATTATCAAAATAAGTGAAATTAATCATTTCGAAATGAGCAAATTTTTATATGATTTTCTGAAGTAAATAAAATACAATATTATTTCGTAAAAGTAAGCAAGGCATTAATATTCTCTATAACATTTATATCCATCCAACAGCCATAAAAACAAGTTACCTGAATTTGTTGAATGAAATGAATGAATTTGGGTTCCGAAAGGTTTAAAGTTTGTATCTTGATCAACAGCAACTCTAAATTCATCTAGATTGGTGAAATATTGGGGTGCCAAATAAGGAGTTAGCAACTTTAGAATATCATCAGGTTCCACATCTTCACCTGGTGTGGGAGGCAACTGAAATGGGACACAAATACATACAATGTGCGTACACACACACACATTATTTATATAGACTTGTTTACTTTCAATATTTAAATATGTTTAATATGATTTGCAACCAATTCATAAAAAGAACTAGTGGGGTGTATGGCATCGTGCCTTAAGGCAAATTGCTGGAACTTCCCGTACCGTAACGAAATTATGAAAGAATATTAAATGTTTTAAAATAGATTATTATAAATATTGTAACATTGTCTAATATTTATTATAAAAATTATATAAAATGAATTGGAAAGTTGAAATTATTTGCTTAAAGTATATTAGAACAGAATTAAAATAAAAATCTGAATTATTTTCGATATACAAAAAAAAATGTTATTCGAAAAAAAATTTTTGAAAAAAAAAATTGAAACAATTTTTTTTCCAAAATCAGTTATTTTGTTAAAGCAAGCAGAAAATTCTTTGAATCATTTAAATAGGACGCTTAGTTCTCTCAAAAACTGCCATTTTTTACACATTTAGCTCCGTATCTTAGAAATGGCTGGGCCTGCCTTTGCCAAAAACTAATAACCACTTCTCCCAATCATTACTAATTGAATGCTTTTTTAGATCATTCAAATCGGATGCTCCGTTCTCTCAAAAACTCTATTTCTATTTTCTGCACTCTTTGCACTGTATCTCCGAAACGGCTGGACCTGCCTTTGCCAAAAACTAATCAGCACATCTCCCTATCAATAGAAATCGAATGTTTTTTAAACCATTCAAATCGGTTGATCCCTGCGCCCGAAAACGTGGACGAAAATTTGTATCCATACATACATACATACACACACAAACATCCATTTTTTCTGAAGTATGCCAAAATGTTCAGAAACCTTGAAAACGTCAAAAAATGCTAAAATTTTCGATTTCGATTTTTGGACGATTACAATAACTTACCCTACGGAAAGTTAAATAGGGTAAATTGATTTTCAATTTCTTATTTACACAACAGTTTTAATAATCACGAATTAAGCATCATTAGTTTCAAATACTCAAAGTAATATTGTATTTTAATTAGCTTAGAAAATCATATGTTTGTTGTCAGTTTTTATTACAATTAAATTTTTCTTTTTGAAAATTAATATAGTTTCAGGATGTGTAATTTGTTTTTTTCCTGATATCATCTACTGAACGATGACACACATCAAGTGTCGATACAAGTAGATAAATAATTGAAAATCAATTTACCGTTTTTAATTGGATGAATTGGCTGCAAATTGCATCATATATCTTTCAATGTTAAATGTTATATATATATATATATATATATATATATATATATATATAAATACATATGAACACATAACCAGTAAACCAAATAATTTTGTAAAATAAGATAAATATAAAATCGTAATCATGTCAACTTAAATATTTATTAGAGTATTTGTATGAGTATTTCATTTGATATTTATTCAAACATGTTTATATAATACATAAATAAATGATTGCCATTATGTAAAAATTGCATCAGAATTTCATTATCTAAAAGAACTAAATAAATGAGACCAATTATATAATAAAATAAATGCAGCTTATGCAAAACATCTATATTTTAACAATATAGGTTTCAAGTGTCATAGTATTATTATCTAATGAAAAAAGCAATATAAAAAGCAAATATAATTAAAGAACCAAGCTAATTGACTGAGCCAAATTGATTACAAATCTGCAAACTATTTTTTGTATCAGCTCTAGTTTTTGAGATACAAAGAAGTTACCGAACCAGGTCCATTCGAGGTCGTCACGGAAAAGAGCTTTTCACAGTGTCAACTATTGTCCCAACTAAGGCCGAATGGGTCTTGTAAGTTTGTGTGTACGAGTAGGCATTAAAATAACATTCATTAGTGTCATTATTCATAGTGTCATTAAAATAACATTCTGAATTGTATTACTATTTTGTACTTTCGTTCCTTATATTAGGTGCGCAACTAAGTTCTCGCTGTTTGTCAGTATATGGCTCTAGCAGTAAGGGTTGGTCGATTTTGACAAATCCAAAATGTCTTGAAGCAAGCTTAGAGTAAGTGAACAAACTGCTGCAAAACATAATTGATTTCGTTTTTGCATTATATAATTCTGGTTAAGTGAATATATCCAATTTTATGCCAAACAATCGTCATTTGCGCAAAGTGTTGATTTTCGTCTTCCATTCAAAAAAAAAAAAAAACGGCAGCTCAAGCGCATCGAGATCTACGGAAATGTTGCTCTGAGCGAAACAACATGCCGTGAAAGGTTTTGTCGCTTCAAAAATGGTGATTTTGATGTTGACGACCACCCTCGTGAAGGAAGGCCAAAACCTTCAAAAACGCTAAATTGAAGGCCTTTTTCAAAGAGGATTCGTGCCAAACTCAAGAAAATCTTGCTTCAGAACTAGGAGTTACCTATCAAGCCATTTCCAAGCTATTGGATGCGTTGGGGATGATTTAGAAGCAAGAAACTTCGGTTCGTTGTGCGTTGAAGCCAAGAGACGTCAAGCGTCGTTTTTTCGCCTGTAAACAACTGCTCCAGCAGCAAAAAAAGAAGAGGTTCTTCATCACATCGTGACAAGTGATAAAAAATGAATACATTACAGCAATCCAAAGAGGAGAAAATCTCGGTTCGGCCGAATATTCACTGCAAAGGTGATGCTCTACATATGATGGGACCAGGTCGGTGTTATTTGTTATGAGCTGTTAAAACCGAGCGAAACCATCACTGGAGAACTGTATCAAACTCGATTGAAGCAATTTTTTTATAATAAAGTTACATTTTCATGGAAAAAACAGCGAGAACTTAGTTGCGCACCTAATATATCATATATATCGTATCTTGAAAACTAAAGCTCATAGAAAAAAAACAATGTCATTTTTTAAATCAGCGCCCCAAATATACTTAAAAACAGCTACTTACTTTCATTTTTGAAAATGCTTCATCTATATTTGTTGAAGATAACTCATTTCAGTAAAAATATATATAATTATTTTTAGCAAAAACATATATTAATCTACCAATATGAGTCATAACAATGACTCCTAAGTTACAAGATAAAGACTAGAACTTTTTTCAACTTACCTTCTGTGAATACTGCACATTAAGATAGGTTTGTAATGATCCTGCACTATAGTATAATTTAATCCTTAGGTTTGAATATCCAAATATACTTTCATTGTCTCCAAATACTTGATGAGACATGACTGGTTTAAATGTAATGGTATCATCATCAACATCTTCTGATGTTCTCGCTGAAAATGTGAAATATCATTAATTATTTGTTAGTATTAGTAAGTTTGATACACTATAAAACATGAACACAAAAATACCTAATTTGAACTCTAATGCATCATTACTGTCAACTACGTATTTCTTCAAGTTATTTATATTAGCCATGATTTTCAAAGATACTATCTAACAAACACTAAAATTAATTTAATTAATTGCAGAAGTGCCGGCACAATTCTCAAATAAAAACTGAATTCACTCAATTGTTTCTAGATTGCTTCCTTCTATTGTTTTTAAAACGAAAATTGTCGCTGAACCTCGGCTAATACCGGTGGCTCGAAACAATTTAATACTTTTGTTTTGAATATCTATCAAAATATTTTGGCATAGCTTGCTTGAACTTTTGAAGTGTTGACATGTTGTTAACGCGGGAAAAATTACTAAGTATTGCCAGCAGCACATAATTTAAATTAACGGTAGTTTTATTTCAAATATTAAATCTGATAAACAACGTGCCATATAAACATTTCACTTTTAAAATAATTTAGATAGATTTTTTTAATACTTTTAATAACTAAAGAATTTACCTATACTTACATACAAATCACACTAATGGCTACACTAATCAATGGAAATGGCTTTCAAAATAAGCTCGTTCACATGTTCCAGTATGAATAAAGAAATATTTGAAGTTCAAAGAGTAAGCGTAAATTTATTAAAGAATATATATTTAATACACAATTAAACTTTTTAAAGAGCTGCAGCACTTTATATGTATATTAACAAAATGCATTTTTCTCTTTATATCTAATTATAGATAAATATTTGTAACAATGTGTAATGCACAAGATGTGCACAAGCCATAACAATAACAAATGTTATAATAATACAACAATTTATCTTTTGTTTTTAATTTTTTTATAGAATCTATACAATTTTATTGGAATTCATCTATTCATCTAACAGTTTTTGCACAAAACCAAACAGTTTGCTATATGTTTGAACTGTTTGTTTATGTAAAAATTAAATTAAATTTATCTGCATAAAACAACTGTAAATAACGTCATTCGATCTTGACGAGTACAATTTATATAAATTTTTCTGAAACTACAATATTAATGCACTGTGGTTGAAACGGGTTCAAATAGAGAGTCATCTTGCCACCGATCTCCACCTGACAGTAAAGCTTCCGCATCTTCATCTTTAACACACAGGGGAAAAACAATTCCATCCCCCATACTGCCCTCAAAATGAAAAATTTGAAATTAACATTCAGCTGATCGCTTTTCTAATTATTATTTACTATAAGTTATAATTGATAATAACAATAAGTAAAATCACAGCTTTTTCTATGAAAGCGCTACGTTATAGTATTTTTGTTATTAAGATATGATAAAATTATAATACAACAATAACTCTATAAGAAACTATTGGATAACTTGACTAGAAACATGTTTAGATTATTTTATTTTATAAAATCTAACAGCAGGAGCCCTTTATAAGTTCAAAATTAGATTAAATTATCCATCTTTTATAATTGAAAAAAAAAGCACTACTTTAATTGCATTACCTCCAAACATTGACAAGTTTTGAAAGAACAATAACCATTAACAAAAAATTATAGTATATTGTAGAAACATGTGTTGGTTGGCGCAAGCTTCTGCATATACTAAAATTCTTTGAAAATGGACTTATTGATCTTATGAAGTTATGATATAAAATACTATTTAGCAAAACTATTTGTATTTTGTCAGTAATTTACATACAGTATACAAAACATCACTCTTATGATTTTTAAAACACAAACTATGAATAGCAAAACAAAATATGAGTAGCATCAGCACGAGAAGTATATTCTATTTTAGATGCAATATGCATAAAACTAATAAATAAGCAAGCATATCTATAAAATATTTTAAATAACTTTGTAAATTATTTATATAAATACATCAAACACAACTTTCATTTGAAAATAATATTCTCCAAAATATTCTTCCTAAAGCTTTTTATACATATATTGCTATGAATGAGTCAAACTAAAATATTATATACATTTAATGAGCTGCTCAAACTTCAGCATGATAATTTTATTATTACACAAACAGTTGGAAGACAATTGTGCAAGTTTTTTATAATTACTGTTATTAAAATGGAAATCATAAATACATAAAATCCATAGCGATCACATAAAAAGAATAGCCTTGTGAAAGAGTATTTTTTGATGCAATGTTAATAAATTATATGATTCAAAAACTGTTTTAACATAATGTACTTTTCTAGTTCTTATTAAAGTATATATATATATATATATATATATATATATATATATATATATATATATATATGTAGAGCTCCGAACAAAGAAACCAAACAATACACTTAAGAAAAATAGAAATTGGCAGATTTTTATCGAAATACTTTGTTATATAATACACTCACTCACTATTTTATATAACGTCTTCTCTTTCACAATTTTGTTCATTTTATAAAAATCCAGCAATTTCTATTTTACTTAAGTATATTGTTTGTTTAAGATGATGTTTCTTGCCAAATGTCCTGCAGGTGAACCATACTTAGTTCCGAAACGTCGACAGTAAATAAAAAAATTGTTTCAACAAACTTTGTTGGTTTTTTATTACCTTTGGATTCTTTGTTCGAAGCTCTTCAAAATATTTACAAATCCAAGCCTCTACCATCATATATATATATATATATATATATATATATATATATATATATGTATGTATGCATGTACATGTATACTTACATACACATAGTAAAATATATTTTTTTAAATATAAATGCCTTTATCATGAACAAAGTAAAATACATATTTAAATTAAATTAAATCATGTCAAGTTTCACATCTAAATAGAACATTTTCAATATATTTGACATAAATATACACAATGTTGGTGATCATTCCTAATAATTCAAATATAGAAAAAAAATACAGAACTTACACACTAATACGATTTGCGAATACAATGTGTAAATGCACTATATATGGCTGGACTTGCTGCCACAATTCCTAAGTTAAGGCCAACTATCAAAGGTGATTATTATTCTGCATGACAATCAATATCTGCTTGTGAAGATTTCAAATTACAATTATAATGCATTTTATTAAAATTTAAAATACGATTAAATTTTAATAATACCATTATAATAAACACTCTTAAATATACAAAAATTATGTTTAATGATTATGCAGATTGAATATTGTTTAATAAGTACCAAGACAAGCATTATATATATATATATATATATATATATATATATATACTATATTAAGGTGGTCCTTAATATGGATGTTTTTAAATTTCCTTGCTCCCAGGGACTCAAATAATATTAAGTACCACCCTAATATATATATATATATATATATATATATATATATATATATATTATGAACCTGCATAGATGAAATGTTCACTTCAAATCCTCCCTTTACATCATATTTATCATATAATTTCCCAAACTAGTTTTATTTGTGATATCTTATTGCTTTAAATATTCACTTTGATATTATACAATTATTAAGTTATTTCGCATTAAATAGCACCTAATATTAAAGTAATAATGAAAAGTAAGAATCTTACATTTTCATAACTTAATAAAAATGTGTTTTTTAAAAAATTACTTAAGCTCATTATTATCTGATTAAATATCACTTAAAGCATCATATATCGTAAAAGATGAATGTTTCAGAAAGCTCGTCATTTTACTACAAGTAAAACACAAGAACTATAACTGAAACTAATTAATTAATATGCTCATTGTTAAATGAAGGATTCTCAATTTTATTATAACACAAGTATGTAAATTGTTTTCAAAATCATCATAGAAACCAACAAATTATTATTTGCAAAGATTTTCAACAAGCTTTAATAATAATTGGATCTCTTTATTATAAATATATAATTAAATAAAATTTAAACTCCTAACAGTATCTTATTAGTTTAAATTATCTATTTTAGGTATATATATTATTTTTTATTAAAATTCTGTTGCTTTTATTGTGTAAATGTTCACTCTAGCATTGGTTAAAAAACAAAACAAAAGAAGGTCGCATTACGCCTTGTTAATATAGGCCTCAAAACACAATTAATAGGAGCAAAATAATTGATAGTTAGTTGATCAGCTTGTTTCTAACCTTGCTTGTGTGTTTCCCATAGAATCATACACATTAACTTGATGCTGTGCTTGAACAGGATATATGACCCCATCTCCCAAACTAGAAAATAATGCAAGCATTTCAACCATATCAAATATTCTTTCTGTATAGTAGCTTCAATGTAAGATTTTCACACACTACATATTAAATAATGGTTTGATCAGTCAAAAACTACACATTTTTTAATATGTCATCTAACTAACTACAGTAATTACAACTAAAGTGGACTGCACCACACATTTTTCCATACCGATGAGTTCTTAAGTAATTTTTTAATTGTTACATTTCAAAAATACATTTAGAGTACTAAAACTAGTATCTGTTTATCAAGACTCCAATAATGCCACTCACAGCATCCTTCATATAAAAGCTTTCCCATTGAAAACAAGCTTAATGCAATATAGCTTAATGCAAAAAGCAATATTGGAAGAAAAATCTATACTGTTACTCAACAAGCAATTTACAATCATAAAGCACTCAACAAATACTCTTAATTAGCGAATTGCTTTTACACATTCATAAGAAATCACATGTTTTGTATATATAGTAAATTTTATTTATTATTATTTACTGACAGAAACTGATTATAAAATTAAATATTTCATGCAAAATTTTATATAGAAGAGAATTTTTATTTATTATTCAGAATTGAACTAACCTGGTAAACACTGGAATTAACCAAGTTTTTGGATTATCGCCAAATACCTCTCGAAAATTATTGTACTTTCCTAAGCTAAAGCCATCCTTATCAGGTCCAGTTCGAAATATTGGAGCACGAAAAGCTTCTAAAATAAAATACTGAATTACATCTGTCCTTTACATATCAAAGCATATTAACTTAAATTCAGGTTATTTCCAAATAACTGATAATGATATATTAATATCAAAGATACACTTATTTTAATGTAATTAAAAAATAATAAGTTAAGTTTAAAATAATATCGAGCTGCATTTCACTTACCTAAAGTTGATCGGTTATGTAACACTAAATAACAATGATAACAGAACAGGCTAACAAGACTGACAGCAAACATTATTGAAACAAAAAATAAAAATAGTATATGAAATCGACCCATGCCTTCCAATTCACCCTGTAAATAAATTTTCGAAATAAATGAGCATAATGAAAAATACCTATAAATGTAATGAAATTTAGACTTACTTTCCAAAATAAAATAAAGTAATGCAAACTTGTAAAAGATATGTAAAGGCAATATATGAGAGCATATCCCAGGAACAAGATAAAATACTTATAATTAAAGAATGATACACAATTATTAACCCAAGGGCAATGGTGATCCATTTTTAAAACACATGTACCACACACACTACAATGATGTGCTCTGTCAGGTTTGATATGTTGACATTTATCGCAATAACGAGCTACTCCACTAGCAGTCCTGAAAAAAGTAATACCATATAAACAATAAACAATAGAAATTTAGTTGTAAAGCTGTGATATTTCCAAGACCCAAAAAACTCACCTATTTGTAGTAGGCAAGTTAGAAGAAAAATTATCTAAAATCCTTTTTTGCTGATCTGTGCTTTCAGCTTGTAATAATAAATTCATTTCGCTACGTGGTATTTTGAACTAAAAGTTAGATATCTTTCAATCACTATGCAATTCAAACCTCAATTATATATATATATATATATATATATATATATATATATATTTAATGTATTCATATATACAAATGCAATAACTTTAACCATAACATTACCTTCACAGGTACTGTTCCAATTTCAGTAAATATAGTTTGCCAGTAAGACCAGAAAAACATTACAAATAATATATGGAAAAACAGTAAGTAAAATACTTTTTCTAAGTCACTGTTTACTGTAACTAAAACGAAGGGGATTAAAAAAGACAACGAAACAATTAAAATTCAGGAATGCATTTAAACTTACGAAAACATAATTGAATGACATATGCATAGTAAGACCACATTACAATCGTAACAATAAATAATACTGGTATCCATTTAACTGCCCGAATGCACCAAAAGCATGTACTTCTTGACGTTCCATTCTGAAGCCCATCCGAAGCCATATTCAAATGTTGATGAAATTTTATATATCATAAATCCTAAAGCCAACCAAACTAGTTCGAGGATAGTTATGTGCTAAACACATATTCACAATTCATAAAACATTCAATCATAAATAAATAATCACAAGCAAGATAAGACAAGGCAATCCTTTAGCGAACCGATGACCACTTAGACCCATAGTCATGTTGTTGTCTCTGTCATTTTCGAAGTCATCTCAAGTCGAGTGTAAGAGACAGAAATACCTTTAATACTTAAGATAGTTTACAACTGGAATGGAATACTTTCAGAATCGCAAACTGTCAAAATAACAAGTAGACCAACATAAGAATTTGACACTTCAGCCACGGTCCAGTGAAGTTATCACATTGCTAATCATAATAATCACCAAACTGTTGCCTAATTTAAAATAATCTCAAAATAATATTCAAATTAAGGTAAATCATTTATCATAATTTTTTATTCATGTTTACAAATTACAAAACTTTATTACAAATAAAATAAATCACTCATAATCAATGTCTCTGTGGTTCAATTTTAAATTATCAGTTAACATCAAAATCAAATTTATCTAATTATCATTTACTCAAAAAGATTATTTTTGTTGTTGGGAGAATATTATATTGAAGTAATATTTAATCAATAAAACTTTGCTCTACGCAGGCCTTAACACGTTTTTCATATTCCCTACGGTTCTCCTTGTAGAGTTGTGCGGCCATTGAGTTAGCGGGAGAGTTCGGATTTGGGTCACTTAATAAAGACTGAAAAAGTAATAAAGATTAAACAGTAAGAGGTTAATAGTAAAATATATATGTTAATTGCAGGAAATGACAATTTACACAATTCTTAAATTAGACATTGCGACTATGGAATTCCTTGATCGAACAAATATTTTACCGCATTCATATCAATGAACAATCATATTTATTATTATAATTCGATTATATGAAAAAATTATTCTTAATGTAATAATAATTGATTATTATTAAATGTAATTATTCATCTCATAACCCAAAAGTGTATCTTCAAAAATTCATACATTTGAAAAACTATTATGCATAACTTAATATTTATGGCCCACAATAATTTAATTATATGATGGGCATTGTATTACCTGTATGGAAGTTAATATTGCAGAAACATCATATGTAGGACTCCATCTATTTTGTAATATATCAAGGCAAATACCACCATCAGCATACACATTAGGGTGAAACATTTTTGATACAAAACGAACAGTTGGAGCTTTGTTTGGATATTCTTCTGTAAATTCAATAGTCAATTTAAATGTGCCATCTTCAAATGGCGTATCATGAGGCCCAAAAATGACTGCATTCCAAATCATGATGTTATTATCAGTTGGAGCTCCAGATACTCCTGTAGGTGGATCTTCTTGCAATCTCAAAAATTGAAAATATTTTTAATGAAATAAAGTATATTTTTCGTTCAATATAAAATTGCATCTGATCCAATTTACTACAAATATCTTTTACAAATGCGCTTGGAATCTTGCAAATAAACATTTTTAAAAATCTTAATGAACTCTGTGTGACAATTCATCTTAAAATAGTGTTTATAACTCAAAACATTCTTATTAAGAACTAATCACTACTATAAATTATTAATTAAAACTTGGATTTTTGCACAATCAATTTTCTAAATCCAAAAATATCGCTTAGTACTTAATGTATCCTATGAGAGTTCATTTTCTTTCTTGCAAATGACATGTACCTCTTAAAATCGCGCATTAAACGTCTTCTGGCTGGTGTTGACATTTTGGATTTAATTCGAAACTAAACAATCCTTGTATTCGATGTGCTGTTATGAAATTCTTTTTTCGAACGTCACATAAAGAGAACGATAAATTTCAAGAGTAGAGCATCATTTACAGGACCTTGTTAGACAACTGGGATTACGTGTTTTTTGTAATTAAAGAATAACAATATTATATGAAGCAGTTACCAAAAATATGCACATTTGTAGAAATACATTTACAAGAAGAACAATTGAACATGTGAATTTGACATCCAGATATGTGGAGAGAATACATAGGCAATACATGCACTGAAATAATACCAACATAGAAATTGACTCATCGCTCAAACATAGCGCACCCACGTACACATACACAATGCATACACAGGACACACGGGACGGGCTCACACCATATATATAATATGTATAGAATATATTCATAAGCTAACCAGCATGCATGAAAGCCCATTGGTCGTAGACTGATTGTAGGCTCGATCACACTAGCTGAATTTGCGACAGATATATCAACATAAGATTGCGCTTAACACAAAACATTTTCAAGAAGATTTAACTAGTGGGGCGCATGGTATCGTGCCTTAAGGCAAATTGCTGGAACTTTCCGTACCAAAAATTATTTTTTTTAAAAAGATTAACATTTTTGAAAAAAAAAATTACTCTGAAAAATTAGATTTTTGAGAAACTAAAAATTTACTTTTTTTAAAGAAAAGACTTTTTGAAGAAAAGTGTATTTGGAAATTCTGATATCTTCTTTTCAAAGCAATCGTACTGCTTAGACACGAAATATCGAAGCGTGTAAGTGTAGCGCCGCCGTCTAACGGATAAGCATTGGTACGGAACCCATAGAAATGTAAACAAAATTTATACTTATTGTTAAAATCTCTATAAAATATCTGATAATTTGATGTGCATATGTCTAATGATCATTTTTGACCGCCATATTTTTTTACTAGATCTCCGAAACCGCTAGACCTGCCTTCATGAAAATTTGATCAGTTCTTGTTAATACAAGTAAAATGCTTTTTGAATTATTCAAATCGGACGATCCGTTCTCTTAAAAACTGAGTTACCGTTTTTGGCACCTTTTGCCCCATATCTTCGGAACGGCTAGACCTGCCTTCGCCAAAAACCAATCAGCACGTCTCCTTATCAATACGAATCGAATGTTTTTTGAATTATTCAAATCGCTTCATCCGTGTTCTTGGAATGGTCGACGAAATTTGTATCCGAACACACATACATACACACACACATACATCCATTTTTTCTAAGTAAGGTATGCCAAAATATTCAGAAACCTCTGAAATGTAAAGATATATACACATTTTCATTTTCAATTTTATTGCGATTACTATAACTTACCCTACGGGAAGTTAAAAATAGTTAAACGATATTTAAATAAATATGTATTTAGATATTTTAAATTCAACTTTTTCTGAGTAAATATTTCTCAAAACGATAGTATTGAAGTTACTAACTTGTAATTCGACCTGCAAAAGATTGCGCAAACGTTTTTTTTGTAAACCATATTTAAGGTAAAGTAATGTAATACCCATAGATAAGGAAAAGACAATACCATTATTTACCAGGAGAACAGTATCGCATATCAATCAATGTTGTATGAAGTCAAGTAAAATGCTGTAATCAGAATAAAGGCAATAGTTCAGTTCAATTGTCAACCCAATGAAATTTTTCGTCACCGGTAGTTCTCCAAGTTATATTAAAATATTTCAGGTGAGTGGTTAAACAGTATTTAAGTCGTTAATTGTACGATTGTAATATTGAAATATTTTGATAATTGCATATGAAAATCTAATATTAAACATTCTTGAGCAAATTGTGAGATTGAAAAGTATGAAAACTTAAGTAAAGTGTTGATCAGGGTTCTTATCAATTATTATAATAATTATTATAATTATTTTGTCTAGGATTCTTATGTTCTTATGCTCTCTTATTATATTGTCTAGGGTTCTTATGTTTATTTATCCATGGCCACTAAGGCCACTAAGATTTAGTTAGCCGCCGCCGGTCGCGCTCTTGTGCACAATTTTGCACTCATCGGATAAGAAATTTGACGGGGGCAATAAAATAATCTTCGAAAACATTCAATAATGTATTTATCTATGGTTCTAGTTAGTGGGTCGATGCGAGCATAGGATTCAAGATGGATTCGAGCATGAACGCATAGATAAAATAAGCATAAACGTCCGTTGACACATGACAGTTGCATGGACGGTATCCATATCTTTTTGCTCTTTGTTTCTGAACTTGTACTGGTTATAATGTTCGTATCTCTTGGTCGGCATGTTTATATACTTTGCCGCGCTTTATACACTTTCAGACGAATTTGTGATCTGTTGAGCTGAGCACTAATCGTGCACTGGTTGTTTGAGGCGCTATTATGTTTGTGCAATCGTAAAAAGAATTCTGTTGTAGATTAAACAGATTTATTTATACAGTTCTAATTAGGTGTCCTAACCTAATTGCTATTAATTATTATTTATTAATACCCCAATATATTAGTCTTAGTTATTTAAGTAAGTATTTTTTCGCCTCTTCGCATAGGTTTGTATATTTTTGTTGTTGTGAATAGCTTATATAATTTAGTTAGAATATTTAAAATAATCAGTTTTAGAGAATTGAAATATGGACGGCCAAACTCCAAGAGTAGTTCGCAATGAGAGTTTCGATTTGAATCTTAAACATGGTTTGTGCTCCTCATTCACTGAGCAAGAATTTTGCGATATGACATTCGCCGTGGGGAATCACCTCTATAATGCCCACAAAATTGTTCTATCTATTTCTTCAGTATACCTGAAGAACATTCTATTAGCTAGTCCTGCAAAGTATCCTATAGGTTAGTTTTTTATGTTAACTGTAATAATCTGAACTTATTTTTCTAGTTACTCTATCTAAATTATGTTTCTCTTTATATTTTCTTCTATAGTTGTGCTTTCCGATGTTCGGCCAAAGATTTTAGAGTATCTTCTTCAATTCATGTATTGTGGTTCGGTCGAAGTACCTGCTGGTGATCTAAATGATTTTCTTTCATCTGGGAAAAATCTCCATATAAAAGGCTTACAAGCTATTAATTCAGAGCATCTAAGTTCAGTATCTAAAGATAACAAGATCATTTCAAACGAGGTGAGATGTAATTACTTGCTTGTAATTTTAATGTATAAAATATGTACATATAAACATTAGATTACTTCACATTATTTATAAATGAATAATTAAAGATTATGTGCAAATGTAAATGTGAAATGTATAACAACGTAAGCTTCAAAAATTAATTAAAATAATTTCACTAAAATATTATATATTAATATAAATATATATTTATATATTAATATAAATGGAGTTTAATACCACAACAATATTTTTAAAAACTAGTTTTTTGTATGTTTTGATTATATATTATGTACATGATATAATAAACTACCATGGTAATATGTGATCATTCAGCAGATCTAAAAGAACACAATTACTACAAAATAACTGGAAGATGCTAAAACTTTTTTTTTAATATGGGTATACATATTATGCCAAGAATAATATAGCAAGAAAGTTGTTTTTGTAAATGATGAATCAGCAGTAAAATTATAAAATGAAAATAGTGATGTTTATTCCATAATTTTTTAATACCACTATACTTAATCAATATCCATAATGTTTTAGTATTTCATTTTTAATTAAAATGATAAAAAAATATTTCAATTCTTTCGTTGTGTTTTAGATGTGATATGCACACAGATTAAAAAAAAGATTGTAATTATGTTAGAATGTTTCGTAATTGTCAATATTTATTTAATTTTGAAATTCAATGAATTGGCTATTCTATTATGTCAAATATATGTATAACATATTTGTAGTGTGAAATTTTGTATTCTTTAGTTCAAATGTAGATACATTTGATATGGTATGACAAAAAGTAATAAGTCTAATTCATGTTGGCTATTCGACAGAATGATAATGAATCCAAGTCCAGTTCGTCGACTTTGACATTTTGCCCAGATTCTATTAAGAGTTTTACAACCCAAAGCAATATTAAGAGAAAGCCGAAAGATTTGACCTTAAGTCCAACCCCTACGAAGAAATTGAAGAAGAGACACTCAGTTAGTTTTAAAATCGATCCAGATTTTACAAAAGATAATGACGAGGAGTTCTATCAATATGATAATATAATGGAACCAGAAGTGAGAATTCAAGATGATTTTATCAGAGACGATAAGCAATCTGTATCTGAATCAACAACCCCTTCAGGACCTAACATTTCTAACCATGCTGGCAAAGTTGAAAATGCAGGTTATATATAAAAAATATATGTTTGAGAAATACAAATATTTTTATAATATATATCATATTATATATATGTACCGGCATATACCGGATTGAAATTTTAATCTGTTTTACAATCAACAGTTCAATATCGGCTTAGCAGTTAATTTTTCTTATATTTTTATTTCGAATAATGCAGAACTCAATATACATTTTTAAAATTTTTGAAACTTTCTAGTTTTTTACATTAGTATTAATAAATGTAATGATACTAGCTTCCTCTGTGAAAATGTTCTAAATAATGTCTCCTAATTTATATCAAATACCTTACACTGCGCTTATGCTCAACACTATCACACATACTGATATATATCACTGTATCCTTATATTATAGTAAAAATTGATTAATAAATTCACTCATTGATTATCATAATCTCTCTATTTATAAAAATTGAAGAAGTATTTGACTCAATTATGATATTTAATGATTAATTTTGTTTATATATTCATAACTATTTTATGATTTCAGATATCAAATTTGTGAAAGGTGTCTCTGGAAAACTGCATCTGCTTTGCAACAACTATACCTTCCATAAAAATACTATGAGGAAAGATAGAGTGTATTGGCTTTGTGCTGCTTATCAAAGTCAGCTTCAGTGTAGAGCGAGATGTGTTACAATTAATGGTAAAGTTATGAGCATTACAGGATATCATAATCATGAAACCGATTACAAAGAAAGGCTAACCACATCTGCTGACTCTATTCTACTTGATGGCACGTCCATAGCTGATCATCAATCTTGTGTAAGCGGGAGTACTGTTGCTACAAAGCCTTTGAGAAAGTTATCCTTTGTGAATAATACTAAGAATGCCGATAATCAGTCAACTACCCAAGATAATATTGAATTACTGCCATCCAAGAAACACACTGATTCACCCCCAGGTACCAGTAGTTCTGTTATAGATGATACTAATGATACTGTTAAGGATTCTATTTCTGAGGCTGTTAGTAATACTGTACCCAAAATTAAAACTGAAAGTGCTGATGAACATCTTGTTGAACACTTATCACCGCAACTGAAACCAGAATCAATTGAGTCGGATTTATCCTCAATAGAAAATGATGCAATTGCTATTGATAATTCTTTTAGTCTACATAGTGCCAGTAACACAGGTCCTGATTCGAACCTTTCCCCAGTTAAGCATGAATCGTAATACAATTAAATTTTTACCATAAAAAATGAATTTCAATGTATTTCACACAACCAATTTAAATAGTTCTACTATTAAGTTCCTGTTATTAAGTTAAATTATTCTTTATTTAGTTAACCTCAATGCTGATATGTATATGAATAGGTCAAAATTATTAAACAATATTAGTTTTAAAAACATTCTTTTTGACACTTGAATTACAATATTTCTATTACTTATTTTTCTGAAATACATTTGGTTTTCTTAGATTTTGCATGCATGTGATACAAACTAATTACTATAATTTTATGTTGGTTCCGCAATAATTTCAAACCCGTATACCACATTGATGTGATAATTAACAATTTGTAATATTTTTTCTGGGGAAAAATTTATATATTTATTGTACCTGGAACTGAATTTAATATATGCAGATATTTATTTTTGAGATTTATGTTATGTTTGTGTATATTTAAATAGAATTAGAGTGAATTGTCAAAATACATAAGGAAAATGTGTTCATGTTAAATTTGTGAGCATTGATGTTACTACAATATTACGAAGTTAGATTTTTAAACTATACTACGCTAATTCATGATGTGAATTTAGAAATGTTATATGTGAGCAAGTAACGCATTGATATATATATATATATATATATATATATATATATATATATACACATTTATGTATGTGTGTGTGAATAAATGTTGAAATACTCTTAGCTTTTTCATAATTTTATTATAAATTAATTTAAAGAGTATTGTTTGTTTATAGATTTTTTATAAATATGAAATATATATTGTGATTTATTAAGAAAAAGATATGCTTGTTAATGTGTTGTTTACTTTTTTTTTATTATTATAGTCATTAAATATATATGGCAATTTAATTCTCAAACAGAAAGAAAACATATATTTGAAATAGGTAAACCCTGTTTATGTTTTATGTTTAAGTTTTATAGAATCAGATGAACATAGTATAAATCTGAATTTGATTTTGACACCTGTATTTACACATTTGGAAAACTGGGCACAACATCAATTAAAAGAATATTAATGTTATGTCCCTAGACAATATAATGGTTATGCCCGTTTATTATAGACTCAGCAACATATAAATTATTTTTCTGTTTCCAATATTAGAAGTACTAAATTGTCTAACACATTTCAAATGTATTGAAGACATTTTATAAATATATGCTACTCATTGTTAGTAACTTCTTTCTTTAGTGATTAGCTGCAGAATCAATCCAGTTTGTTGTTGAATTTTTATTTATGGTATTTAAAGTACTATGCAACAGCATAAAAATTTTAATATATTACTAGAATATATGGATGAAATTGTTCGTTTAGAGCTCAACGATATTTCCGTATACAAACTAATACAAATTCAATTTATTTGACGGTGTTGTAGAAATTGTTCAGCACTCGTATGATCCTCGACAATATAATAATTATGATTAAATCGGTTTAAATGTGACGCTTCAACGCTTCAATCATATTTAGATGTTGGCAGCACTTTGACGTGAGCATATTTGCGATCGTATTTTGTTATAGACGGTTCGTGAACGGCCATTTCCCACCAAAAAGTCGAGAAGAAGTTTTGGGGTCTGTTCGATTGTTCTAACGAACGATAATTGCAGCTAAATCTTCCTCCAGGTTAGTAGCTGAACCTAAAAATACTTGGTATAAAATATTTGTGCGTATAGCAATATACATAGTTGTCGTTGTGCAATAGTTCGTTGAGAAGCGTTATTGTTCGAAAACTGGTTTACTGTATGACAAAGGTTTGCTCGTTTCTAATTTACTCAAACTGTTTTGATTGCAGATCTATATATTAATACCGTCATGGCTGATAAGAGTCGCATAACTGCTTTTAAGAATAGGGGAAAGGACATGGAGGTATGTATTTGTTTGACATTTTAACCCCTAAACAGTGTGTTAATTTTATATTGTTCCATTTAGACGATGCGTAGGAGACGTAATGAGGTGACCGTGGAACTAAGAAAAAACCGTAAAGATGAGCAATTTTTAAAACGTAGAAATGTTGATCTCGAAGAGGAAGAACAGGTAGAAAACGGTGCATCATCCCCTGTGCAGCATACATTGCCAGAAATAATTGCAGGTTATTTATTAAGTTCATAAATGCATAAAATATTTTCATTGCTTTGCACCTTCAAGTCAAAAATCTTACAAGTGTAGAACGTTATTTCTTTCCTATTTATAGGTATGGCCAGCAGTGATCCTCTTGTCAGATTAGCTGCAACAAAATCTGCTCGTAAAACTTTGAGTAGAGAGCGCAATCCTCCAATTGAATCTATAATTGAGAGTGGTATTGTGCCATCCTGTGTGGACTTTTTAACCCATTATGAACAGTAAGTATTAACATTACTTCTGTAATTTCAGAAAATTAAATTGGGTCAACTTCATCAATTATTCATATTTTTGTCTACATAAAAGTAATAATAATTTTTTTATTATAAATGAAATTAAATGTAAATGAAAATTTCAGACCGGAATTACAATTTGAAGCCGCATGGGCTCTGACTAATATAGCTTCAGGTACATCTGAGCAAACAAATGCAGTCATTACTGCTGGTGCAATTCCGAAACTTGTTGATTTGTTGGCTTCACCTCATGCCAATGTTGGTGAACAAGCAGTTTGGGCACTTGGAAATATTGCTGGTGATGGGCCAAAGGCCCGTGATCTTGTGCTTAAACATGGAGCAATGGAAAATTTATTAAAATTAATTTACGATGAAGCAATTTCTGTAAGTAGTAACATTACTAGTATAACTTCTTTTATCACATAAATCTTTTTTTGTTTAGATTACATTCCTGCGCAATATTGTCTGGACCTTATCTAACTTATGTCGAAACAAGAATCCACCACCGGCTTTTGAATCTGTTAAACCATGCATGCCCGCTTTAAATAAACTTCTATCGCATAGTGACAAAGATATATTGGGTAATACATCAAATTTAATTAAAAGTATGAAATTTATTTAATTTGCACTGAAATTTCACAGCTGATACATGCTGGGCATTATCCTATTTAACTGATGGAAGCAATGACAAAATACAAGCTGTTATAGATGCAGGTGTTTTAACTAAACTTGTACATTTACTGGGATGTGAAGAAGTGATAATCTTAACTCCAGCATTAAGAACGATAGGAAATATTGTTACAGGAAGTGATGCCCAGGTATAATTTCTTATTTTAATTTATTTTAATCACAGTTAATCTAATTACAATAACTTATTGTTGAATTAATACTAATTCCATTTAACTGGATTCAATATTTTTTAGACTGATGAAGTACTGAAGGAAGGAGCATTGAAATATTTCCCCAAACTACTTACACACTCTAGAAGTAATATTCTAAAAGAAGCAGCTTGGACCATTAGTAACATTACTGCTGGCAATATGGAACAAATTGATCAAGTTGTCAATGCAGATATACTGCCTCCATTGATAAATGTTTTGAAAAATGTGTGTTAATTACCTGAATATATACAATATACAGATATATATATATATATATATATATATATATAATATATATATATATATATATATATATATATATATATATATATATATAATATGAATTATTTTGCTAGGCTGATTTTAAATCACAAAAGGAAGCTGCATATGCAATTACCAATTATCTGTCAGGTGGGTCTATTGCTCAAATTGCTATTTTAATCCAGAAAGGTTTCCTGCAACCTTATGCTTTGCTGCTTGATTCTAAAGATGTCAAAACTGTCCTAGTGATTTTAGAAGGTTTAAGTACTCTATTACAAGTAAGTTTAAAGTTCGTTCAAAACTCTTCATATTACTTAAATTCATTTTTATTTAGGCTGCTGAAAAGCATGGTGAAATGGAGCAACTATCTATAATGATAGAAGAATGTGGAGCACTAGATAAACTAGAAGCTTTACAGATGCATGAAAATGAACAGATATATGAGAAATCTTCATTGCTCATTGATATGTACTTCAGCGAAGAGGTATATTAAGCTTAGCTTATGGTTACCAACTTAATTGCATGTAATTTAAATGTTCATGATCTCATTTGTTATAGAAACCTCAGGAAAATGTTAATGGTGAATTCAGTTTTAATGCAGGAAGTGCTGGCACTCCAAATACATTCACATTTTAATTTATTTTTAAATCCTATATTTTAATATTCTAAAATTATATTGTTAGCTTTTTGTTAAATTGTGATCTATTGCCAATAAACAAAATATGAATTGATTTACTGTTTATTTTTAAATAACTTCTTGTTTAGTATATATCAGGTTCTTGTACCTTAAAATAAATATAAACTAATCAGTATGAAATAAACATTGTGAGAACTGATGGAAATGTGTATGTGAACCTGATAAAAAAAAAAATTGCCTGTAGCGTAGTTCTAGGCGTTCGAAACAAATCTTAGCAATTGTCGATATACTTTACACAATACACATATCTACTAGCTACACGTCAAAATTGCTTATCACGTGGTATGTTGATACGTGACGTCACAATGTGTGTACCCATGCCACAGACTTGGTAATCTGGCCAAGGTAGTTTTGCTTGAATTGCAAAGAAAAGATTTGACTATATTCAACATAATATTTACCACATTTTTTTCAGTCGTTGCTGTAATTGAAACTATTTAGTTTCACCAACGACCTAAAAAAATTTTTTTCATGTAGTTACACTTGATTTATATTCCCAAATCCCTATACCTAACCTGTTGTCAAATATAAAATTGCTGAGTCTAGTTAGTAAACAGAATATCGCTTTACTGTCAATCTCGAGGGTAAGATGTAAATATATCGTATATTTTTATATTTATTGAAACTGTAAACACTTGTTTGAAAATGCTTATGTGGCAACATCTGTTTGTTTTATGACTTTGATTGTGCAAAATTGTTATTATCACTCAAAATTTAGAATTTCAGTGAAAGAAATTTGTGTAAATAGTGAAAAAGCACTCTTTTCAATGAGTGAATTAAAGAACAATGTTTCAAGTAAGTATTTTAAACAAAGTATTTTTTATAAGGTCTAAATACTGATAAGTGTGAAATAATTTTTATTTTGTGTTATTAATTAAGAACAAATTTTAATATGATATTCATTGTATTAGGTCATGTACCAGATAATATGAATTCTGAATTAGAAGTTGAGACTACAAAACCTTTAGTGGAAGAACCTATTTTCCAATTGCCAAATACTGTAACTTATATTGAAGGTACAGATGGAACTAAAATATATGTTGTGGGTACGGCACATTTTAGTGAAGAATCCCAAAATGATGTCATTAAGGTAAAGCATGTAATTTATTATGAGAGCATATTTTGTATAATAATTCTAATATTTAGAGTGGTGTAAAGTCATTCATAAAATACTTAATATATATTAAGTATTTTACATAATATATATTATAAATTGATATAGTGAATTCTTATTCGAAGAGTAAATGTTTACTCACTCTTATCAAAAGCATTGCAATTGTTTTTTTTCAATATTTTTAGACGATACAAAACATGAAACCAAATATAGTGATGGTTGAATTGTGTTCGAGCCGAGCTCACATTTTGCAATTTGATAAAGAAGCCCTATTAGAAGAAGCTAGCACTATAACAGTGAAGAGGGTAATTTTTTTAAATAAATTTTTATCTTTTAGTGCATAGAAATACATTTTTATAATCTCAATATTTGCAGATTCAGGCTATATGTAAGCAAAATGGTTTATTTAATGGACTTATGTATATAATGTTGTTGAAAACAATAGCTTCAATAACAAAACAATTGAACATGGCTCCTGGCGGCGAATTTAGGGTGGCTTTCATTGAGGTAATTAATAAAAATGGCTACAATCATAATATGGCTACAATATTAATTTTGATAAATTTATTAAATATTCATTTAGTTAAACAATCACAAATGAGACAATAAATTTCAACATATTTATTATTTTTGCATAGTTCTTACTAAGCTATGTATTATATAAATTTAAAGGGGTTTATTTTTATTTTTAAAATTCTGTTTAGGCTTCCAAGATTCCAAAATGTGTATTTCAATTGGGCGATCGTCCTTTAAGTATTACTATACAGAGAGCATTAGGTGCGTTGAGTTGGTGGAGAACCATAAAACTTCTTTGGAGTTTGCTTGTACATCCAACGTCCATAAGGTTAATATTATAAGTTGGCAATCTTTTATATTTTTTTTTTGATTTTTATCATTTTGACTCTTTAGCAAAAAAGAAGTTGAGGATTATAAAAATTCTGATTTTCTGGAGAAAATGCTTTTGGAATTGTCAAAGGAATATCCTGAATTGGGTCGAGTATTTATACATGAGCGTGACAAATTCTTGGCATATTCATTGCAAGTAGCAACACGTCACTATCCAAGTAAGTGTCGATCAGTTTTAAATAACTTCTGTTAATTTTATTAAAAATAGTAATTCAATATATTGATTAGGCGTGGAGCGTCCTTTGTTAGTGGTTGGTGTTGTTGGATTAGGGCATATTTCAGGAATTGTGAAACATTTTGGCAAAGTAACGGCTGAAGAAATAAGAGAGCTTCTAAGGTAATATATTTAGTAGAATCATCATTATGAATATACATTGTGCTATATTTTTAAAAATATTTTTTAAGGGTTCCTGAACCATCAAAATCTAGTATAATCATTCAAAAAGGTTTTAAGTATACAGCTGTGGTTGCATGTGTTTATTTTAGTTTCAAAATGTTACCTATGAGTGTAAAGACAGGGATATTTGAGATGACTCAGAAGATTTTGCCTTCCAAATGAACCATTTATTAGAAATTAGTTTATTTAAGCATATTTTGCATATATGCCATTTTCATACACTATGAATTTATATATGATATGTATATATGTACATATATATTTATATACATATACATGGGAGTAGCTAGGAGACAGTTGTGGATTATTTTCGTACATTCACAAATCTTAGCTATTTCTATGTATATATATGTGGTATAAATATGTATATATAATTATTGCCGGTCGGACTTTTTGCGGGGCTTGAAGCTAAATGGCAATGCGGAACCTCATGAATATGAACTCGAAGAAGAAGTACTATAGTAATACATGCATTATATGTCAACATTTCACAAATTTGCAAGTGAATACAAAAATGCATTTAACATTAAATATACATTTAAAAATCGATTCAAAGCAAAAATTAAATGTTTAAACAATTAATTTAAAATTGACAAATAAACAATAATTATATATATGTTATCTTGAATTTTAAATAGTATGTTTTGAAATAAGAGTGCTTGGTGCACCTGCCTCTGGCCGGCCATGCATATATATTTATGTGTATTCATATATTTATATATGTATATATATGAAAGGTTTCATATATGTACATGCAAAAACAATAGTAGATAATTAAGGTATATTTTTGATATAATATTTTTAAATGTACTTTTACATACTGAAAATTTTACACTGTCTATGTAAGTATGAAAAATATAAATAATGTTTTTTAATATTGCAATAGTTTATTTGTATATATTTTAAACTCTTTTATTGGCAACTTCTCATCTCATACTCATACTCATACATCAAAGATTCACACAGTGTAAGACGATTTCGGGTTACTTCTGCACTTGAGATAATTTATATCAACAATGCTCTAGTTAAGTTTATGTCAAATTTAATAATGATTTAGTTAAATCAAAATTATCTAGCTATGAAATAAATTCAAAGTGTGATTGACAAATGCTTTGCATTTAAATCTCAAGTTTCCGTAACCCGAAGTCATTGGGTATAAAATGTATATAGCAAACTAAACATACTACCTTTTCCGTTGTTCGATTGCTCTGGCAGTTTTGTAATTGCAATACGTCATCTTCTGTGGTACATTAAGCTTTCTAGTGTCCATGGCGATTTTGGAATGAGAGCCGGATTGCCGGACGTCTTTGTCCATTATCGCAGGAGCAGTGGGAGGCGGTGAACGTAACCCTAAATATAATATGTCTTCATCCAATGTGTACTGGTGATTTATGGTGTGCGCCGGTGCAGTTGATAAGCGGAAAATGTGGTCAGGCGGCGTGGAAGGGCAAGAAACAGTATCACTACTTACATCCGATATGTCGTGTGAATTAAATACTAAAGAACCAAATATGTCACTTGGACAACAATTATTTGAATCTGCAAATAAATAAAAATGGATCTATCTACTATATGAATTCTATGTATACTATTTGGCACGGAGAGGATAATACCTCGTCTGTTTGGTGAATTAATTACATAATCTACATCTTGAAATGTTACTGGTGAATATACACTTCTGCAATCACTACCTCTGCTATGGCCTGAATCCGTTCGGTAATTCTCAGTTACATGATCATCAATCCGATATTCTTGGTCTTGTGAAATATTTGTGTTTGTACTTGTCTGTGTCGCTTGTATCATTATATTTCCTAGAGGTTTTCTTAATTCATTCTTATCTAACCAATATGTTTTCATTGATCCTGTAATGTAATGTAAAGTCATAGCATGTATTGGATATTCATTATATCCGGCAAATTCGTGTACCTTTTCCTTTGACGGTGATATCGCCTCGCTCGGTAACTTTATAATTTGGGGGTATTAAAACCCTAGTAGATTGTGATATATGAATTTTCATAGCGACACTAGTAGATTCCATTCTACTCGCTGTATTTACTGAATCTCCGAATAAACAATACCTTGGCATTTTCAGCCCGACTATACCAGCAACTACTGCTCCCGAGTGAATGCCGACGCGTATTTGCAAGTGAGATCCTATTAAAAATGCAACCCTCGTAATTTCCGGGTATTCATATTCATTCAACAAATTTATCATATTAAAAGCAATGTATTTATGCAGATGCAGTTGAAATGTTTAGGTATTGCAATTTTTTATCAGTATAACATCATCTATTTATATCCACGATAACGGACGGATCAAATACTGCGCTGAGTTAGCAATTTATATATTGTTACAATAACTCACCGAGTATAATTAAATGGTGACTCTTTATTATATTATTAAAATTAGCTCAACTTTTAGGAATACGATTAATAAAGTATAAACACTTTGATTTTAAAATTTTGTGTTGTGTCGGAGATTTATAATTTATACTATCAATAAAATTTAGAATATTTGAAAATGCGAAAACTAAAACCAAAGCTTGACTCGTGAATTGCAGTCCAGATATTTCTAACATTACAAAATAAGTTAAATCTAAAAATTCCATATATGTAGTTTCTATCCTATATAAATCTTTCGTGTGAATATCAGAGCCGGTATGAACATTTCAACACATCTCATAATATTTATATTTATTAGTAATTGAAATAAACCCGTGGAAGGATCTTTTAGATCTGTAATTGCTTCAACCATGTCCAAAGCCATGTTGCAAACTTTTTCGGCATGGTTGTCCTGCTTTTCCGGAGCACCTGATACCACCATGTATGCGTCTCCTATTGTTTCTACCTAAAAAATAACTAAAAATTAATTTACATACAGCACACATGAATGGCTACAAATTTTTGTCCACGATTTCGAGAGCACTGATCAACTGATTTAAATAATTCAAAATTATTCGACGTTAAATAATTCAATTACTGTTGATGGGGAGGCGCACTGATTAGTTTTTGGCAAAGGCAGATCCATCCGTTTCGAAGTTTCGAGTCAAAAAGTGTGCAAAATGGCAATTCTGTTTTTGAGAGAACAGAGCGTCCGGTTTGAATGACGGAATGAGGAACTGATTAAATTTTTGGAAAGCAGGTCCAGCGGTATTGGAGATCCATAATAAAAGTTTAAAAAAAAATTTTTTTTTAAGCTTTCAAAAAAATTTAAGGCACGATGCACGATTTATAGTTTGTAACTATAAATATATTACTTACTTTATAAACATTATTTTTTTCTGTCAATGTATCAAATATTGAATACATAGCATTTAACATGGAAACCACTTCCATAGGCGTTATTCTGCTACAAATTTCAGTAAAAGTAACTACGTCGGAAAATAATATGGACACACTATCGAACATCTGAAATACAATGAAACGTCTGACTACGATAGCATCTTGTATGTTTTAATATGTAAACTTAAGACATTTACTGCACTTATAACGTACTATATGCTTTTCTATAGTGCTGTTAGGTATTTTTACCTCACATGTATCAATAGGATTTTCCCCTGTTCTTAGTCGATCTGCAACTTGTTTTGGTATCATTTGATATAGCAATTCATCTGTACGGCGCATTTCTTCATCTAGCTTTCTCATTGATTCTTCAAGTTTTTTACTTTTTTGTTGCTCTTGATCCAATGCCAATTTCAGCTCGACTGATTGCTGAGTTCCGGCCAACATTAAGTCTCTTGAATTATTAAAGTTTTAAATACTAGTATTATTATATATTTGTTTATTTTTTTACTTGAATGCATTAAACTTTTTTTTAATAAAGGATGAGTACGATAAACGGCTAATAAAGTGATTAACAGTAATATAAAAAATATAACAGCAAAAGAGGGCGTCTCTGTACGGTTTAGAGACATGGACTCTAAGAAATGCCGACAGAACTACCTGGAGATATTTTATATGTGGTGCTCGAGATGAATGGAGACGGATAAAGTGGACGGATAAATTAATAAATAAAGAAGTGCTGTGAAGGATGGAGAAGAAAGAACTCTACTAAGTACGATCATAAAAAGAAAAGAAAACTGCATCGTACTCGTGAGTAATGAGTAAAGAGTGCATGCTGCACTACGTCGTCGATTGTAAAATAAGGAGACTGAAATGATTAAGAGGAAGAAAAATGCGAATGATTGATTACTTTATATATACACAGGGCCGGTCCTGCCTTGCATGCGATGCATGCAAAAAATGCGGGCGCACGCCTTAGGGGGCGCCAAAACGAGTTTCGGAAATTAAATTTATAATATTATATTTATATTTTTATATAAAATCTAGAATTATTTATATAAAATCTAGAATTATTTATATAAAATTTAGTATACATAATAAATTATAATAAACAATCTAACTTAATTAGGGATACGAAGACACAAAAAGCATTTATTTACATTTATTTTGCAATGTGATATCAGTAGAAACAATTAACCGATTAATAACTCTGCAAATTAGTAAATAACAGCTCTGTTCATTGCTTAATCTACTTATTCAATTTTTTCTTTGTTTGAAGTTAACGCGGAATCGAAAAAGAAATTATCTAGTGTTTAATTCCATAAGCTCAAACCTGCGAAAAATTAAATTAACTATTGGGCATTATTGACGAAAAATTGCGAGCTGATTTAGTTAAAACGAAACTTGTTAAAAAATATCAACAAATTATAATCGGGAAAATAAAAAATGGGGAGTCAGTGCTTAAAAAATGGCATGTTTATTCCGAGAAATTGAATTGTAACTTTTGCTTTTATTGCAAATGTTTCGCTTCTGATGAATTTTGAATGTTGAAGACATGCGTGGTTAGGGTTATGGAAATGGAGCAAATATGAAAAATGAAAGCAAAATGTACTTAGGAACAAAAATCTTTAAGCTTTTTTTATACATAATTATTAACTATGCAGAAATAATACAGATACAAATATAATTTGTTTCAGTACAGTTAAGGGAATATGTAATTTTTTGCATGTTTTTGGAAAATACTTTAAAAATACGTTAAAAGTTTAACTTTAAAACAACAATCTGATACTTTGAATCTGATGGGAAAGTAAAGCTGAATACAATTCGGATCTTACGATACCAATACGGAGGAGTTTACGATGCAATTTTGAATATTGTAAATAATGAAAAAATAAATTAAAATAAAATTTAATTTAAAACATAAAATACGAATGCTATGTTTAAAAATTAAAGACTATTCTTTTTTGCTTTTTTGGCGTGATTTGCTCTATAGAATAAATAGCATAATAAATAAGTTAAATGTTTCAAAACCAAAATATTAATATTACACCTGCGTCAGAAATAATTGAGAATTTAAAAATATTTGATTATGATCAACCCGCGAATCGCCTCGATTTTCTAAATAAATTTAAAATTAATGTATTTTATACGCTTTTAGATTACATCTAAATTTTTGTGTACTAAATTCAGAATGATTAAAAATTAATTTAAAAAAATAAAGTAAATGTTTATATAATTTTAATGAAAAACTGATAAAACAGTTGAAATTATTGGGGGGGGGGGCTAGGACAAATCTTGCATGCGGGCGCTAAGGACCCCAGGACCGGCCCTGTATATATATATATATATATATATATATACATATTTATTTATTTATTTATTTATTTATTAATTTT